GTTTATTAATCATTGTCTCTACCTAAAGTTGATAGTTTCTGAGATTTTTTATTTCTTTAACAGGCAAACTAAAATATCGAAAGAAAGAGAATAAAAAACAAATTAATCTGCAATAGTAAAATACACGATGTTCTATTATATTGTTACGTTGAACGGGTGATTAAAATCGGCGTGGGTTAAACTCAACAATTTAATTCTTAGTAACGCAAATTGACACGACTAATTACACATCGATTATGTATAAAAATAATTCCGGCGCAACTTGTCTGGATTTTCTCGACACTCGCTGAACTCGACTTATTCACTGAATAATCTCGTTCCTGTAGGTGGCCTCCATTTAAACCCATATTCCTTCCATACTAGAAGAAATGCATACATACTAGAAGACCCATAGGCGTCGTACCGGGGCGGCGTATGGGTTTATTTCGTAATTATTTTAGGTTTGTTTTAAGTAAAAACAGGTGTAAAATGCAAAATATATTTGCAGCAGGCCTTAAAAATTATTATTTGTCGTTTATTTTTACTATCTTAAATGCAGTCGGGTTGACAGGTCATTGACATTATAATATGTTTTCTGACCTGACATTATTTTGTTGTTAAATGTCGTTTTCAGTAACCGTCAGTATTTGACACGACTGTTTCTTTATTCAATTTTAAATTTTTAAATTTTTCATTGATTTGCAAGTTTTCAGTTTTTCATTTTTTTGTTAATAAGACAAGACTAATATGACAAATATGATATTTCCTCTAAGAAAATTGAGGGCGGGTGGGCGGGGCTACTACTTGCTACGATACGACTGAACAATATTAAGAATAGCCGCTGGAATCAAGAGGGGGTAGGTGGGTGGGGCTACTACTTGCTTATAGCCCCGCTCAGCTCTTTTCTCTATTTCATTAACTCATTTTATTTACTAAAAAATGTGAATTGAATTCTATTTTAACAAGTGGTAGAATCTAGGATTTAAAACAAAGTAAAAAGTTGCCCCGCCCACCCACCCCTGTTCTGTTTGGTCATTCATTCTTATTGGCTCTGAAGAACGGAAGTTGGATTTTATATTGATGAATTAATGGAATCTAGGATTACATTTTTTATTAATACAGTTTAATTTTTGCAAAATTCAATTTTTAGATTTTGTAATTTTCCGATTAGAAAGTTTTCATTTTTTTTTTTAGTATTTGTTAAGATAAGACTGATTTTAGCGAATGACATACCCCCTAAGAAAATAGAGGGTGGGTGGGCGGGCCTAGTACTTGTTAAGATAAGACTAATTTTTGGCAAATGACATACTCTCTAAAAAAATAGAGGGCGGGTGTGTGGGGCTAGTACTTATTAAGATAAGACTGAACGATATTAAGAGCAGCCACTGGAATGAAGCGGGGGTACGTGGGCGGGGATACTGTTTCTATATAAGGTTCTTACTCCGCTTCGCCCACTTCTTTTCTCTGTTTCTTTGACTATCTTCTCTACTTACTATAAAATGGGAATTAAATTGTATGTTGACAAGGGGTAGAATCTACGATTTAAAATAAAGTAAAAAGTACATACAGTCGACTTTTTTAACTAGAGCAGCCTGTATTTTATTACTGCATTTTATTTTTATTCTTTCTTGTTTATTAATCATTGTCTCTACCTAAAGTTGATAGTTTCTGAGATTTTTTATTTCTTTAACAGGCAAACTAAAATATCGAAAGAAAGAGAATAAAAAACAAATTAATCTGCAATAGTAAAATACACGATGTTCTATTATATTGTTACGTTGAACGGGTGATTAAAATCGGCGTGGGTTAAACTCAACAATTTAATTCTTAGTAACGCAAATTGACACGACTAATTACACATCGATTATGTATAAAAATAATTCCGGCGCAACTTGTCTGGATTTTCTCGACACTCGCTGAACTCGACTTATTCACTGAATAATCTCGTTCCTGTAGGTGGCCTCCATTTAAACCCATATTCCTTCCATACTAGAAGAAATGCATACATACTAGAAGACCCATAGGCGTCGTACCGGGGCGGCGTATGGGTTTATTTCGTAATTATTTTAGGTTTGTTTTAAGTAAAAACAGGTGTAAAATGCAAAATATATTTGCAGCAGGCCTTAAAAATTATTATTTGTCGTTTATTTTTACTATCTTAAATGCAGTCGGGTTGACAGGTCATTGACATTATAATATGTTTTCTGACCTGACATTATTTTGTTGTTAAATGTCGTTTTCAGTAACCGTCAGTATTTGACACGACTGTTTCTTTATTCTAAAAAAGCTCTAAAGAATTGAATTTTCACCGCCACTCCAAAAATTTTTTGTTGTTTAATACTTAATTGAAGCAAATTGTTACATTGGTAATTCTGTGTTATAGGCAGATATACTGGTATGTCAGTTCACAGTTGTCAATTCCTGATGGCAGTTCCTGACTAGGTGTCATAAATGTCAATTTATCAATCATAAAATTTTAAATATGTTGAGATCCTAACAAAAAAATCACAAATCATTAATAGTCACTCGTTTATACATTGATGTCTCAATAAACATTAGAATAATATCTAAGCTAAGGAAAATGAATTTCGATAATATCTTAGTTAACTGGATCTACAGTTTTGTCAGAGACCGTTTTCAGTATGTTAAGCACTGCAATATTATATCTAAACCTGTTGTTATGTCATCAGGTGTGCCTCAAGGGTCATACTGTGGTCCCTTGCTATGTTTACTTTTCATGAATGACATTTTTCAAGTAATTAAGTATTCTAGTATATTACTATTTGCAGATGAGGCGAAAGTTTACAAAGATATAAAATTGGTGGAGGATTGTCATCTTCTCCAAGAAGATGTTAGAAATGTCATTGAAATATATTTAAAAAAACCTTAGCAAACTAAATCTTCTGTAATTATTGTAACTTTAACTTAGTCCAGTTATTTCATAAGGATTATAGATCCTGTCAATAAATATCTAATATCAAATAGAAAAAATAGTTGTATCATTCTTCGAGGACCATACAATGAAATAAAATATTTTCAGCGATACAGAGTGAGTACACAACTTTGTTATTTCAAATGGAACGCCGTATATATTCTGACTGATCTCTTCTGTTACTCCAATTTGTTTTAAATTGTTTAGCAAAGGAACAGTTATTTTTAAAATTTGTATTACAATATTTTGTGGTGAGGTAAATGCACGCTTTGTTGTGGTGCAAAAAAAGAGCCATGAGGGACAATGATTTAAATAAGGTTCAAGACCAAGTTTGTATTGTAAATATTTCTTAGAGTATAAGAGATTGGAAGACATTATGCACGAGGTCATAGTGTAGACAGATTAGAGAAGGGAAGCGGTTCTAGAATTTGGAAAATAGAACAGATAGAAGAAAAACTGTTGGACGATTTATAAAAGTGCTAAAAGAAATCTGTGTGCAGAAAAGAATAGAACGTTTGAATACATTATTATTTTAATTAACACAAAGCTCAAATTGAAGACAGACGGCTACTGATACTTCTCTAAAAAGTTGGGAAACTTTTATGAATATTGTAGGACATCTCAGAAACTGAGGACAAAGTATAAGAGGAATGGTATTCGAAAACCTACAAAGTTCTACGAAGTCCCACTTGAGGAGTTTTCCCTTGAAAACGCAGGCATGATTTTGAAAAAAAAATTTCAGTGTTCGGAAAACCGGAGGAACACTCGAAGAAAAACCCAACTGTTGAACGAGATCGAGGAAATTATAGTCGAAGTAGAACATTATCCTGACAGTGTAGAACATTTCCAACGCTCAATAATAGATCACAAAAGCTTTCTTTCTGAAAATGTAGCAGTAGAAAAGACACATTGATGGAGGAATTTTCTGGGAAGCTGATGAAGACAGTATTATTGATTTATCTGATTATTATTTGTCGTCCAAGAGAAACTGAACAAAAGAATTTTTGAAACGCTTAATGACTATAGAATAGAGCCTAAGCCGGACTAACAGAGGAACAAATAAAGGAGCTTTTGAACAAATAGCCAATTAGGAATTTTGTCAGATACCCTCTGCATAAATAAATGTTTATGATTGCAAACGCAACGATCATAAACAGAAGTGCTCTTATAAAGGACAGTGCTTTTAATTGTGTTTGAAGCCAATGAGTCACTCTAGCAACGAACTCGAGCAGAGAAAGAGAGCGACAGCTAGGACTGTACAAGGAATGCAGGTTGAATTGTGTTGTTACAAAGGTTGTTAAGTTACTGGAATTTTCAAACGTCATATTAAAGGGGCCACATGGAAACCTTGCAAATTGTAGGTCGCAATATTATTCTACATCTTCAAATTCTACAATAAATTAATTTTATGCATCTTCCCTTTTAATTATATTATAAATGTTCTTAACTAAGTCCTCACATTGTTTGTCGTGTTTAGTTTTATTGCGACAGCCGGGTTTTATATTTGCGTGTTATTGCGAAAGTAAAAAAAAGAGGTTATAAATGAGTTGTAGTATGTTTAAACGACCACTTTGACCGGAATCAATACTGTATCGTTCGTCAATAAATAAATGATTTAGTTTTAAATCCGTCCGATTTTAGCACATTTTATTTCACACACTATCGCAAATTACTTGACTATTATTATTTATTAATCAGCAGGGGTTTACACAACAATTGAAAATAATCCTGATACAATTAGTCGCAATTAACCGGTGTACAATTTTTTGTTGGCAAAACGGTATAAATTTTACATAATGATCAAAGATTACGTGTCCTTTGAATAAAGTATAACGCACATGAATGAAGTTGTCTCCCAACAGTGTAGAAAAAATAGGAAAACAACAAAGTTACTTACCTTTTTTTAGCTGCTCATAAATTATTTCCCAGGTCCATCCAACTGTTTTAGAACCACCATAAAACTTTCAGCATTTAATTAAAAATTAACAAAATTCCCCCACCCGAACAAGCAATAAAACCACCTTTACAGCGAATGAGGTGTCGTTAAACGTTAAAAATGAATAAAACGTGGGTAAAAGAAAAAATCCGGTAACATTCAAGTCACACTTTATTTTATTTTAATATTCTTTAATCGTCGATAAACGATAAAAATATGTTTCTTTTTACAATGGATGATGGAAAATAAAATATAATTTTTTTGCTTAATTATATAAAAAAATGATTGATTGTATGTATAGCCTATGTCAGATATTTACATTGTGCAAAAGCATAGAGTCAATAAACGTCAACATTAAGGGATGAGAAAGAAACATAAATCCATCCCTCACATACATAATTTAGACCGCAATGAAAGTTTTAACAGCGGAAAGCGTCAATACACTAGTGTACATAAAAAAAATTATCACATTACAAAAACGTACAGTCTTGGACACGTTCAATGTCCGCCGCACGCCTATGCCCTATGGTACACTCGGATCAGAATAAATGCTACTTTTGATTCTGAGGAGGCGGATGAAGACTGGGGTCATTTCAGATTTTATTATATCCAATGACGAGTTTATTACACCACCCTTGTTTTATCACTGCTTTACGGGGCTGTTAATCACCGCACGTTATTATTAGGGGATTCCCTTTTATGACATCTTGAGGGTGTAACACTCACTTTTTAGAAATTTATCACATTACGTCAGGGCCAAAATTGTGACGAAGAGGACAGTCACCAGGCGGAGAATGGGCAATTTCGGTGACCGAGTCGTCGAACTCTTCACTGAAACAAGAAGGGAGGTTAGAATGGCACTATTTGAACGTGGCTGAGTTAACGATTTATGAACACAAGTTCGGTGTATTATTATTAATGCAAGCGAGTCATCGAGCGGGAAAATTCGTAGGACGTCAATACGATTACTATTATTTTATATGAAGAAAGCATTCATTACGCAGACAGGTGTGTGGTAAAAGTTCTTGAAATATCACGTTATCGAAATTACCAAAATGTGGAAGGTTAAAATCAAAAATTACATCAAATTCTTCTGATTGCTCGTTCACTACTGAAATAAATTTCTGCAAGTACATCGCGCAAGACAGGAAACTTTACTAATTACGTTTCTAATGGAGCTCCTCACAAACAGATAGCAAACTGAAATTAATTTCCAAACTATTGTTAAAAATCTTTTGCTACCGAACTTATTCGTACATGGTGGAAATATCAGTAAGGAAATCAGTTAGAATTTAGTTGAAGCAAAGAAAATATTTTTATTGAGACTAATCTACATCAAGTTCACAGAATCTATATATTAACACGGTGGTTTACGATATTTAAAATTAAAAATCTGTCTTTACTTTTGAAATTTACTTAAACCCAACTTCCCTCGCCTCTGAAGCATACCAAATGAATGTCAGTGTAGTTAGTAATTTTTGATGAGGACAAATGTACTTTTAATTTTAATATGTAACGTTACTCTGTATTAAAAAAATTAGCGTAATTAAATGGATCGTTTCTGAAATAGATGAAAAAACCCGCAGGTGTTGGGGTCGACCTTTCACATTCAAAGCTGAGCGCTTTGTCACGTTCTATGCTACAAACACGTTGATAATATGATATTTACATTTAGAGCAACTCTGTTCGTAGAACAATAGAACGGCCATAATGACATAATAAATTTTAATCGATGTTCTGCAATCACTAAATCAATGTTAGTGTATTTTTGGCTTTCCTTGAAAAAGTCACTAGTTAAAAATAACAGTATTAACTCCCACAACTAGTAATAATTAGCGTAATGGAATGTATAACAAATCCGTCTAAAGAGGCTTTCTCCTCTCAGTATTTTTTTACTTAAAGTAAAATTTAAATAAATAATGTACATGTTTATAGCTTAATATACAATTAAATTTAGAATCTTCATGAATAATTTATTGATAAACAAATCTCTTCAACTTATCCGCTCTAGCTCCGGGCAGCCTTTATTAAAGCTTATCAAAAATTAATTCGTTGTCTGAATAATTATAAGTGACAAGACTCACAATAATTTTTTTCACAGGGAATAATAAATGAGGGCGTCTGTTTTTCGATGTCATTCGGAGCAAAAGTAATCAATAGAAGATGTAGTCGTGGAAAATAATTGTGAAAATAATAAGTTTTTATCTTGATGACATAAGCATGATTTTAAGAAACATGGGTACAATATGTTAGACTTCTAACAATGTTATGAACGAATTCCATTTTTCTAATGGAGTTATATAATTTTTAGAGTTGAGTTTGGTTTGTCATCATTTAGAAAATATCTGTTTTATCACAGTTCGATAAAATACCATTTGACGACCAAAGACATCAGGTGAATTAACAACCACGATTCATGAATGTTTTAGTTAAGATTCATTATTTCAAAACCTGTTATTGAAATGACATTTGTTGATTCCTTAACCTAATTTCTAAAAAAAGATTATTAATAGTTTTAAAGCTACGAGTAGTTTCATCAAAATAATGAATGGATATACCGGAATTATTTTCGGTCTATATCAAATTTGTTCTTGTTCTTAAAAATGGACGTTGGACCCAGTCAACACAAAATCAGAATGTTTTTGCTCGCACGGTATAACGTTAATATATCATACCGAATTGCGCAGAAGGACTTTAACCATTGTTGTAGCAACTCGAATTTTCCACATTGGTGCTTACGAAATTCTAGAATGCAATGAGGAATGCTGCAAACCTTAGCTTAATTCGACATGGAACGAGGGGCAAGGCAGAAAATAATTACTTGTCAATGCAACCAGATAGCTTCACCAGCTGATTACACACTTGTTTCTCTGATTCAGTTTAGAGTGTATACACAAATTTGTCACCACAACTTGTGATCTCCAATGCGAAAGGGTGGAACGTATCCACAAGCTTTACAATTAAAAAGATAAAATTAAAACTTATACATTTTCAATTTAAGTTTGCGAAGCTTTCTGAGTTAATAAAGCTAAACCTAAAGTTATATTTTAATGCGACAGGTAGAGTGAATAATCTGTTTTTAGGTTAAGTTAAGTCAGGTGATAAACTTAATATCACCACATTTATAACAGGTTGCTAATTAATTTCGTAAATGACAAGAGATTCAAATTAAGTTGTTTGTTAGTCGTTTTCCTAATTTCAGTCGTAGCTATTTAAATTTATTCTGCCAATATGAAAGGCTATTTACTACTCACAATTAATCACCTTTCAATGCTATAGATTAAACAGCCCAATTTTATTCGAAATTCAGATTTCATGCAATTTCATGCAAAGGAAAAACTGACAAAAGATCTTACAGATCCGCTAGTCTTTTCCTTAGAACCCTAAATTAAATTTTCTTTTCATTTGCAAAGATGACTTCCAACCAGGGAAATAAAGTAACGGACGCAAAGGAGATATCTTGTATACGGTGGATATAATTTAATAGTTAAATGGTCAATGTCAGGATCAAGACACTACAACGTATTATTTCTCCTTTGTTTTATTAAAGAAGAAATGTTAATTTTATGTACGACAATAGACTATTTTCTGCTGTGATCGGCATTTTTAGCTACTGTCCAAATGACAGTATTGACATTCTACCTGCGTCACACTCGGATCCAAATTAATTTTAGAATATTAGAAAAGCGCTTTTCTCTTTGCTCTGAATTATTAAAGTTAATGTCAATATAGCTTCTACTAGCGTATTCCCACATTTATATGAACGTTTTGAGTACATTTTAAATACTGTAAAACTTCTACTTCGTTTGTTTTATTTATTAAATCAAAAACAGTTTAACTCATTTTTCCGAAATTCTGAAAACACAGGGCTTATACTTATTCGAACCATATGGATCCTTAATTTTAGTAGTGCAGGCGTCTTCTCATCCGAACATTCGTTACATAACTAAGTAGGACGCATACGTACTGCTTCCATGCGCAAATTTTTTAAGTGATCACATTTTCTGAAAGACGATCTCGCCTCCTCTGTCCGATGTATGCGTACTACTTAGCTGCGTAATGAATGTTCGAATGAGAAGACTAGCACAATTAAGAATAATCCTTGTATCGACCAAAGGACAATTGGCAGGAGAACAAATTTTGTCTTCGTATCATTTAACATTTGCCCAAAAATTAAAACTCACAATCATCCTAAACAATTAACTCTGTAATTTTTTGGGAACATCAAAATTTTTTTCATTTTGATTTTGTAGTATTGGAAATTGTCCATTAAGTGGAATATTTGCTCTGTTGGACAATAAATTATATTATTATTATTATTATTAATAGAAACTACTTTTATGATTTACTTCTTTTCCAGATGAGGCAAAATTTTCTAACAAAGGTGGTGTTATCAAGTATATCTGACATTATTGCAACTAAAACAACACAAACTGGATTAAAGAAGGGCATTTTCAAACACCTTATTCCACAAACGCTTGGTGCGTGGCCCTCGGGAAACAAATTATTGGTTTCTGTGTTTTTGGAGACAATTTGAATGAGGATTCTTATTTAAATTTTATTCAAACGAATTTACCGTTTTTACATGAAAATGTTAATTTAGAAGTACGAGAAAATTTATGGGTTCCCTTGTGCATTATCATAGGCGGGTGCGGGATTACATTGATGTAGTTTTCGCTAATGGATAGATTTTTGTGGAGCACAGTTTACCAAACTCCAATAAACAGGGTGAAACATTTGGAAAATAATTGTATGTACGATTTTGAGCAGCCGCTAAATAAATTTCAAAAGTTTTGATCCTTTGGAAATGTATTCTGAGTTGTTTTCTCAATTCTGTCGGGTTCATTATTAGTTATTTTATTACTCATGAAACACCTGTACTCGTATAAAATGTTTCAATGTATTTTCCCTGTATTTTTCGTGTTCCTTACTTTTAATGTCTACTGTATACATAAAACTCTGCTGCCCTATATTGTGAAAAGCGATTGAAATATTGAAATTCTACAAATACCGCTGTTTTGTATTAAAATTGAAATCTCAACTTGGAATCCACAGCTCTGATCAATAAATTTTTGCAGGAAAGCAGAAGAGTTTTATGTCTTGCGTAATTGTATTAATTTATTCTTACAAGATGAGATTCGTCGTAGGATGTTCTAAATAAGACTGTAAAGAGCGAATTCTAAGGCAAATGACTTTTCATTTTGGTTGTAGACAAATTGATGAAAATAGTATATAAATGTGTATCTGAGAAAAATAATAAATACTAAGGAAACAGCTTTAAAAAAGAATTACTTGTCCCAAGTTTGCTATTTTATTTATTTAGTTATTTTACTATGTATATTTGTAAGTGATTAATACAATTAGAACAAATATTGGGGTTCACGATATTTGGATAGCAGTAGATGAAACTGCAAAGTCTTATGGGCAATACATTGCAAACGTCATAATTAGTAAATTATCTGCTGATCACATTTACTGGCATGGACTATATTGGAAAAAATCATTAATGTAACACTGGCACGTTTTATCAGTGAGTCGTTAGGTAATTCCATACATTATTAAAAAAATCCATATTTCTCGTATCAATTTAAATTAACTTAGACTTGCATTAGTGTTCGTTCAAATTGCATCTTAGTAACGTCACTCAGATTGGTTATATTTACCAAAGCACGGTTGCAAAGCTCCATTAACATTGTTGCACAATTAGGGCAAATTTGCAACTTTGCTACATGGTAAGGTAAGTAATCTCATGTAAGACGAAGTTAAATTTGGTCTGTGACCCAATTTCTGAAATGATAATGTTAAGTCAAATATAATAATACAGGTATATT